ATCACCGATATTAACACCATCATCATCAAGAATACATTTATCTATCAGTGGTCAATTGCAATCTTATTGTGATTTAATATATCATCATGAATTATATGTTGAACATTTTACATCAATAACAACACATTATCAATTATTATTATTATTTTTTATTTGATCTTATACATCATACATCAGTTGCAAGTCATTTATTCGTTTGTGAAGGAATACATTTAGATGAAAGTGGTCTTGTATTAGTGTTATTAATTGAACAATTTCTTCCATTACCATTAAATAAACAATTATGACATAAATATATACCATAAATTTTATAAATATTATCAATAACAACATCAATTGATATTATTACAGAAGATTTTAATAATCTTAATTATTCTATAGATATAACAAGAAAAATTTATGCACAAATGCTTAAAAATGTAACTTATAAAACAGGATTACCATTTATGAGGTCACCGGTATGTATTAGTTTAATTTATCGAAATAAATATATATATGTATAATAAAAATTTTAATCCAATTAAAAGAAATTTTTGTTTTTTACTTTGACATTGTTTATGTGCTAGTAATAGATGAGACTTTTGAATAATTCAAATCTTCGAAAAATATTTTGAAATAGAAAATATGCAGAATTTCAGATAATACAAATCGTAAAGTAAAGCATTTAAGCTACATTAGTACAATGACCGAATAATTCCTCTCGAATCTTATTGATCAAATTCTCAGTCGTGCTATTTGTACTGTTACAATTAAAGAAAACGACGTCTTTCTAATATTATATTTCGTAAGATGTTTTCGATTGTGTTATTTATTTGCAACCGAAAATAATATTTCGAAATAAATTGCATTCGAGAATTTCGATAAACTTTCTATAAGTTTGGACTCGTGAACTTCGAAAACCTATTGGCTTTTTTCCATAGCATAAAATTTTTAGGATGATTCTTATACTAAATGAAAATTGATTTGAGAAAATAAAAAACAATGTAAATCTGTTCCTTTTTTGTTTTCCTAGGATTTTGTATCATTATATCAAATGCATCTCATTGTCTTATCCTTAGTATTTTATCAACATAACGATTAATATCAAATGAAACAAATTAAAATGACATTGAAACAACACCTAATATAATTTATGTAAAAAGTTTTTATCATGCTCTAATAATCAACCATATTCAATTGCATTAATAGATTCTATATCAATGTATATTGATAAAATACAAAATCATGTTGAATTAACATGTCAATTTTCAATAGATGATATACATGATTTATTACGTTTTATAATATTTATATCAGAAATAATTTATATAAATACATATATCATATATTTATTGATATGATTTACGTTGCATAGCTATATTATTATTTTTGTTTATTAATATTTAATTCATGTATACATATATCAAGACAATTTTGAAGTTGGTTGATTATCAAGAATACAATTTTAAGAAATATAGACTTCATTTTTAGCTTCAATTAATCCACCATAAATCAATCTAATGATGAAAATAAACAAACAACAAATAATTTTAAAAAAAAGAAGAAACTTTAGAAACAAATGCAACACAATAGTAACAAGATTGAAAAAAAAACTAGATTTTATCTGTTCTTTTTTTTATCGGTGGTCAATAAATGCAAACACGTTCAATATTAGATACAAGTTTAAATAATTTATTTACAAATATTGAACGGTTAGGTACACGTGATTTATTATTCTATGAACAACTTTCATATGATACTATATTAACATCAATTCAAAGTAATAATACATTACCATTATCAGTTTTGTTAATATTGAATATTCAACATAAGTGTATACAGAACTCTAAGTTTAAGAGAAAGATAAATTCATTGCTAAATTATTAATTTCATCAAACAGAAAATCTAGTATTTCTCTGGCTTTGATTTGGCTTATATCAATAATTTCAAATATATTCTATCAATCAGAAAATTAGAGTATGAACATTTTCTTTGTTGGCATCAATCTTTAAAAATATATAATTTAGAGTTTATGTGATCGCTTATTTTTTCATCATGGTTTTGATTTAACATCATCTTTACAAATTCTAATTGAAATTTATGTAATATGAATTAATAAGTTCATTTATATATGTATCTGATTTATTTACATCATCACAACATTTATCAAATTTATATGATTTATGTAATGAATCTTTTCGTAAATGGTTTAATGAATAAGTTATAATTTATGTAAATCTAGTATATTACTTGGGCAAAAAACAAAAGAATATAATGGATTATATATACATTTAATTGAACATAATTATAAATTAATAATAAAGATGATTTAAATAAATTATTAATTCTAATAATAATACTAGAATTAAATAATGATATATAAAATAATAATTTATATTTATATGATATTTTATTATCATTAATTAAAGATGATAATTTAACACAAAAAAATTATATCAATTAGTCTTGAAAGACTTTTAATAGTTGGTCAATATCCTAAAAATGATATATGGCATTCATATGAAATACGTGCACGTATTTATACATTATTACAACTACCAAATGAAAATACAAATTCCTTAAATAATGAACATGTTAATGAAGAACAAGAAATGATTGATAGTTCATCAGATAATATTCTTATTGCACTTATTGCAGAATTATATGAACGTACTAAACAAATTATCAACATTACCATATGAAGCTTTACTTTTATTAGGTCCTTTATCATTATTACTTTCACACATCAGTTTATCGGATCGTTTAATGAATAAGATGGTTTTAGAATTTGTTGCATCAACACAAAAATTATATCCTCAAATACTTGCATATACAGTTTTTGCTTTTTTTTGTGCTTTAATTAATACATGTTATTCAGCTGCAGTTAATGGATGGACTTTATTATCAATGACAAATATTACACAAAGAAAATTAATAGGTATGGCTATATAGGGGTTAACTTGTCTTATGTTCAGTGCACATAGAATTGCTGATGCATTGTAAGTATTTACTTAAATCATTGATCCTTGCTGATTTTTTTTCTTAGTCCTTTATGTTAATCTTTAAAGAAAAAAAAATTTGTATTAAAATTTCATACTGATGATTTAATAGTGAAGTCGGATTTGGACTGTTGGATGAGCTATTTTTTTTTCATCTATGGTAAAATATTCTTCCTAGTTTTCTTTTTAAAAATTATCAAGACTTACACATACGATTAAAATTTATTTGAAAAAGATAAATAGTAAAACATTAATGAAAAAAAACTTTGTTGCAATCCGAAGGAATAACGATCAATACAAAATCAAGAAATTTCACCATGAAATGTCAAAATGAATTTTCATAGATAATATGGTATATCATTTACTTTTTAGGTTTTCATTGATGTTATCACGTTTCAGTAATCATTTTGAAGAATTAAACAATCGTTTATTTCTTATTGCTGGTCGAGAATATTATCTGCATATATTATAAAAGAGACAAAAGAAAAGCTCCAAATATTAATTGCATGAAAAAAAAATCTATTTTACTTATTTTAATTAACGAGTATTGAACAACGGCGTCAATTTGAACAAGCATTAATAAATGAATCGAATCCAAAAAAAGTATATGCTGATTTACTTGCACACATTCAAAATATGATCTTATCATTGTCTTGGGTGTGAGTGTGGATGTTGTTTGGATATATTGATGGATCGATACTCTCTTTCATCCATACCCACACCCTCAATAAAGACTAAAAGTATCGATTCATAAAATGAAAACATATCAACAAGATCCACGAAAACCATCATTCTCATTTATTTTGTGCATTTGTGCTCTAATTTCTGTTTGGCTTGTTAATTTGTATTTCATATTGTATGTTTTATTATGATTTCAACCATTGATTTAACTAGTAAATAAGTCGATTAAAGTATTCACAAACATATTTCAGTCATTAAAGTTTCAAGAAAATCTTTAAAATGTTTTAGAATAGTCTAAATCTGGTTGATGATGTCATTCAGTGCCTTTTCTGTTGCCATTCTTTCTCATTTTACTAGGAAAACCATGCTCATTGGTCTCTAATATTTAAATCATGTCGCTGAAGTCTAAGAGGAAAATGCACAAATCTAAATTAAAATTTGCATTTATAACCAGTACTCTTTGAATCGTTTTGATTTAGTATATTATATGTAAAAGCATCTACCATACTTCATCCTATTGAACTGCTTTCTGAAAACTCGTTAATAATGATAAATTTAAAAATTCTCGAACTACAATCATTTCTTCTTATTCAAATAGCAATTCTTTTTTCTTGATTTATTATTCCTACTTATTATTTTGTTATCAATACAAAAAAAAATTTAATAATAAAGAAAAAAAATTGAATATTTTAATGTAAAAAGCAATTCATCATTATTCGTTCATCTCACCTTCATATATTAGAAAATATGAACATTAGTGTTTTCTTGTAAGATGACAATCCGATTATCGTTGGGCAGTATTTAACAGTAACTATCCGAAACGGAATCGAACCGTCTTCTACGAGTTCGAGTTCAGTTCGATGCCTGACAGACATGGCATTGTTCTATAGAGTTATTTTAGATTTTAAATTTCTAAGAATTTATTTATGAAAATCATAAACTTTGGTAAGTTCAGCCTCAACAACACAATTATCAAAATACATGACTTCAAAAAAAAATAGATCATTAATAACGAAAATCCGATCAACACTATAGAATATTCTGTAAGAAAATGGTCACACCGTGTTCCTGTTACATTCTAAAGATACTAAAAGACTTGTACACACATCCAGGTTAAACAAGCAGACAGTAAGATCTTACAAGAATTCTACAGAGCGTTTTAATGTAAAATGTGTTAGGTCGCCATTCTAGTATGATTTCAGCTGATCTTACAAGATAAAATACTTCAAAGATATTTATATTTACTTATTCATTTTTCCAAAATGACTAATATCTGTTTATGGTAGATGTCGTTGTCCCAATGAATAGCATGATGCCAAATTCTGTTCTGTTTTCATTACTAAGAATAGGAGAGACGACTAGCAGCTTATGAACGAGCTGATGACATGAAGGATGGTCGTATTCTTCAAAACTTTTTTTCTCATAATCTACTTTCGTGATTTAAATTTTGTGTTCTAACTTATGTAACTTTGCTTCAACTGTTGTTTTGTCGTTGAAACAGTAAACTTTGCACACATGTGACGAAAGAAAATAAAGAAACTTTTTTCCGTAAAATTTAATTTGAATAGAGAGATATGCAATAAGATGTGAGTTTTCGGTTCATCTACAAATTCACACACCCTATTGTCTATGAATTATGGTTAGAATAGAAAAAGTCTAAAATAAATATTGTTTTCGAATTTCTATCTTCTGTTCCAACTGATTCTAGTCATTCTAAATCTGATCAGAACTGAGTTTAAGCAAGTCAAATGATTGAATTTATAGTGGGACTTTA